AAAAAAAAAAAAAAAACAGCAAAGATTGTGAAAGTTGTCACAATAAAGTACTTAGTCCTTACCATACTCGCAAGCAGACGGACCAGACGAGCGTCCGGTCCGGTCCGGTCCAGTCCGCTTTGCCGCGTGCGGCACCCTCCCCCCGGACTGGACGGACCCGGACCGGACTGGATGGGGCCGTTTTCTTTTTTTTTTTGGGGGGGGGGGGGGGGGGCGTAACTGGTCATCGGGCGCACATTCGTGCGCCGCGCGGGTCCGGTCCGGCGGTCTGCCGCACTTGTGGAACCGCCCGGACGGCGTCCGCTTGCAAGTATGGTACTTTTTTTTCTTTTTTATTTTACTACTTACTACATTCAAATTTACAAAATTGAAGTAGGACCACACTGTGGAGTCTGTTCGCATCCGAAAACAGTGTTCACATCCGAAAACAGTGTCCACATCAGACAGCAATCTGGCCAGAATGAAATCCACATTCACATGAAGGAAATTTTCTACTTTTTACTACTAACATCTTCCTGTGGGAGTTCAGGTCAACTCATGTCGAATAATCTTTTCACATCGTAATAGTGCAAGGAACAAGCACGTGAGAAAACAAAATTTTGAGCCGCACGGACTCCTTGAAGATGTCCTTTGGGACATCTGTTGCAATCGGAGTGGTAGAGAGAAGATTAGCATAACCCCTGCGTTAAGGATGACAAACATAACTTAAGAGAAGTGCTCCAAATAGGGAGAGAGAGAGAGGCTCCACTCACACATAAGCAATAACTGGTGACGACTGAACCGAACCGAAACAGTGAAAGTTGTGAAACACATAGAAATCATATTTATTCCAGACAATGGATGCTCTTGATTCGAAGGCCGCCCTGGCTGATCGGTCACCACATTCTTTTAGCATAACATCAGATTTTGATGTCCATAGGTACCTCATGGGACGCACCCTTTTTGAGAATTGAGTGCACTGAACCATATGCCTTAACACAGCTGATGAGGTTGAGTGCAGAACAGGCACTCCTAAGGAGGAGTACCCATACAACTGCAAAGAAGGGGGGGTGAAGGCTGTGCCTGCCAATCACATGTCACGCCTCGGCACAACAGGACACAGTCTGTACAGACTGCAGAAGCCAGGCTGCTGGGATCTCGTCTGCGCGTGGGCGGTCCTCGCTGGCATAAAAGCCATTATGAATCCCCTACTTTTATGATCGATCTCTCAAGGCCAACACAATCTTCTGTGACAAAGGGCCTCGCTGCACCACTCGCCAAACGTGCAAAATGAGAACGAATCTTCCGCTAGAACACGGAAAGATAAACCGCCACATTTTCTGTCTTTTGTGCATGTGGTGCGTAGTGGAGCGAGCTTCAACTTGTCATTTTATTTTGAGTCTTTTTTGACAGATTGATATCAACTTCAGACAGCAGAACTTCAGTCCTACTCTCCGCTTCACACCCCCATTAACAGTGACCGGATCCTTGCAGCTCCCAGTCTCACTATGGCTGTCTGTTGTTTTCTTTTTTTTTTCTTTTTTTTTTCTTTTTTTTTTTTTTTTTGGAATCATTTCTCGATTAACGAGTGTCATCCTTGCACAGGAGCCAGTACCGACTAGGTCCGATCTACGCTTGTGCTCTGTGGTTTTCGATCACATGCGGCCGTCCGTGACAAAGGTCAGTCGTTGATCGTTTTGTGTATCGACTGCTAGTGTCGATTCTCTTTGTTTTCGTGGAGGCAGCTGCCCATCGGTCAGTAGATTTTTTTTTTTTTTCATTTGTTGGCCATTTCGTTGGCCACTTTGCGTTGGCACGAAGCTTCAATTCTATGGGTTTTCTAGGGGGGGCGTGTTTTTAAAGCTCCGTGCCTTGCTATTTTTTCTTTTGCAGAAATTGAGAATATTGAGATTTCCGTGGAACACTGCGAACAGGCCGGCAGGAAGGTCGCATGCAGATGTACCGGGTTGGTGGAAGTGCTGATGCGCAGCCTGTACTGTCATGATGTTGATGTCAGCATTGTCAGGCCCCGTGATTTTTCGTTTTTCGGGTCCTTTTCTTCGCATTCGTGTAAATGAAAAATAGCATTGTTTATGCGTTTTTAAATGAGCAAAGAACGCCACACACCATTTTAAACGATGCTAGTCGGTCACAGCCCCAGG